ATTAACTGGGAAGCAAAAAGCCGGAAGAGAGTTACACAAGTGCGAGAGAAGAAACTGTTAGTATAGAACTTACGGTTACATCTAGCCCTTTCAACAGTGAAATGATGAGGCCTTCCCGCCAATCTAGTAGTAGGCTTAAATTCGTGATATCTAGGTATCAAGGAGGAAATCTCATTACAACAATTTCCATGAAAATATTTATAGAAATTTATAGAAATTATTATAGAAAATATTTATAAAACAAATTTATAGCACCAGGCAACTACGTTACGGCGGTGGGTAAGTGAGTGAAGCCGAGATGCCAGGTCAGAACCAATAATGTTGCATAGTCTTCTCATAGTCTAAATATATAGCGGAAGTACCAGAACAGGTATGACGGCAATATTCAATACATGGTCGTATGATAAACTGATAAATGTGTAAGAAAACTGGTCTAGCACGATACAGTGAACCAAACAGCAGACCTTGCAATTGATTCAATATAATTTATCCACTTCATGTTAACGTAAAATGTTAGCCAGAGAAGGCGCACGGAGTTAACTATTGTAAAGTAACCTTCCAGTCGCTGTTTTTAATGAAACAAAAAGTCGCGTATATAAAACGCAACGATATAACTTCTCAAAAAGAAACACAATATCATAAAGTTACAGAGTGACCGTAACACAAAGTTAGAATTTGTAAAACGTTCTGTAAGGATCACAGAAGAGTCAGGTTGAAAAAAAAGTCAGTGAAGAGTCAGGATGAAAAGTCATCATTCACAAGATAAAAGCTAGAAAATTGCATTTAAGATTGACTCAAAAAAGAGATTTGAGAAACATTGAATGGGCAATAAAAATGGAAAAATTGATTGACTGATCAACGAGAAAATATTTGCAAAAATATACGATGGAACGCTTGGGAACGCTTGCGAATGACACCCTATAAGCTGCGACTCGTTCACGTCTTGAAGACAGACGACAAGCAAAAACGCATGCAATTTTGTATCGATATGCAAGGCCACAAATTTGTGTAAAAGTAGAAATAAATATTCTGTATCGATATGCAATAAAAACTTGAAGACGAGTTTGAAGATTATCATATTTCAAGTGATGAAGCCGTAGGAATGACAATGTTAACAAGCAGAACGTTCGTATTTGGGGCGAAGAAAATCCCCATGCCACAGTTGACCACATGAGGGACTCAAGAAAAGCAAATGTGATCAGCACCATCTGCAATAATAATCTTTATGACCCATGAAATCGTTCATGAAATCCACACACCTTTGAATTTCTCACTGAAATTCCGATGAATAAATCTTATTTTGCTCAACAATAACCCCATTTAATTTCATTTGTCTAGATTATGTCGTTACTCAGATATTTACCTCTCCAATAAAATTATTCGTTTTTTAAACACCCTGTATTTTTTTTTTTTTTTAAATATCCAAGAATAACGAATTGTATTTTGTCACGGATTTGTTTTACTTCTCTTTTTTTCCATCATGAAATAAGGCTAGATTAATATTTATCCTAAGATCAAATATGGAGATTTAATGCCAATAACCGTGTTCTCTAATCTTGAAGAACAAGCTCATCATCAGATTTTTATCTTTAAAAAATTCTAATAAAGTGTGTTTATAAATTTCTATTAACAGTGACGCTAAATGTTTGGTCAATGAATGTCGAATATTTCCTGTATGGAAACGGCTATTCTTACCATTACCGTTAATATCATTTGCTTTATGAAATCTTCACCCCATCAATTGTAGCTCGCTGAGACGGCTAAATCCACTTTTCAGACTAGTATTTTTTTTGAGCAATAGGAGAGCCGAGTTCGAATTCTATTACATTCATTTACGTGCTAATATCTTTGGGAAGGGTATGAATCCTCTTCTTCTTCCACCAGCTGTGGGTAAATAGCAGGATAGACTGGGTTCTAGAGCCTTGGATGGCAACTGATCTACCGTTGAAAGAAATGGCAACCTACTGCGGGAAAAAAATCTGCCTCGTCAATCATGTATCGAAAGAGACATGATCGCCTACGCGTGTATCTCGCATGACACATAACTAACTGGCTGACTATTTTTTTTTATTTCATAGCGAAATTACTGGGGAAAAGTATTCCTGATTGCAAATTATCCCGTGTTCAATTTCTATATTCGTTTGCCATAACTGATCCAGACACTGGTGTATTTAAAATGTTTCCATTTCCAAATTATAGTTTCTGTTTCAGATAGGTTTGTCTGAAGTTCAAATTCTTAGAACTATTGGTATATAATATTGATCTTTCGATCAAGATAAGATTCGGACCAACTACGAACCGCTATACATTTATTTGGCTTCGTATGACACGCACCATCACATAAGACGTCGCCACTATTTTACAAGGATATTTTATGATTTTATTTTTGTTTCAGAGAGGTTTGTCTGGAATTCAAATTCTTAGAACTATTGGTATATAATATTTATCATTCGGTCAAGATAACATTCGAACTATGAACCGCCATATACCGTATTTGCGT